TTGCGCTCTCCCGAAAGAAACTCAATCGTGAAGTCATAGTTACTGAGGGCGAGTGCCCACCTGAAGACCTTGCCGGTGTCGACGTTTGTTAGGTAGCGGAGATGGTTGTGGTCCGTGCGCACGACGAAGTGCGCCAAGCTGGCATAGTCGCGCCACTTCTCTATCGCCCACTTAACTGCGAACAGCTCCCTCTCTCGCGTGTCCCAGCGTCGCTCCGTGGGGTTGAACTTCCGACTAGCCAACTCTAACGGCACTTCTATGTCACCTTGACGCTGCTTTAACAGAGCTCCTACTCCCAGCTCGGAGGCGTCCGTCTCGATTATGTAGGTTCCTGTGGGGGTCGGTGCGTGCAGAGTGACCGTGTTCTGCACTGCTTCTTTCAGGGCCTCGAAGGCGCGCTCGTGCGCTGGCTGCCACTTGCACTCGGCGCCCTTCTTCAAGAGGTCGAACAACGGTGCCGTGGTGTCTGAATAGCGTGAGATGAACGGCCGCAGGTAACCACACATGCCCAGGAAGCTCTGGAGACCGCGTCTGCTCTCTGGTCTCCGTGCTGGTACGATAGTTTGCGTCTTCTTTTCTTGGACCTTGATACCATCCGTGCCGACCACGCGTCCTAAGTACTTCACCTGGTGCTTAAACCACTCGCTTTTGTCGAGCCGCAGGTAGAACCCAGTCTTCCTGCATTGCTTCAGGAAGAGCTCCACTTTTGCGAGCACGCTCTCGAAGTCGTCGCCGCAAATGACGATACCGTCGATGTAGCAAAACGCATCGTCGCCGAGTAAGGGCTCGAAACAAGCATCCATGGCCCGCTGGAACTCAGCAGGTGAGTTCTTTACCCCGAATGGGATGACGTTGAATTCGAATAGCCCGATCGGAGTTATGAATGCCGTCAACGGCTTACTCCCCTCCTCGATCGGGACATTCCAGAATCCGCTGTTCATATCCAACGTGCAGTAGTACTTCTTCCCGGCTGCACGGCGTAGGTGGTCCCAGATGCGCGGTAGTGGGTAGGAGTCTGCCACCATCGACGCATTCAGCCGCCTGTAGTCTGTAACGCACCTCCATTCTCCCGTTTTCTTCTTGACAAAGTGTGGAGCCGCGGCCCACTC